AAAGGGGACCAATTCAAGTGTATCACTGGTTCGGGCAGTAGCCAATGCCAATGAGGCGACTGTGAGATCTTTTACTAAATATACAAACAGAACAGACATGACTACCTGTTAGGAACCAATAGATGGAAAGAATGTCGCCTGGATCCTAATCCCAGGACAAAATAAAGGAAACAGAAACATTATCCTACAGGTTGCCTTAACTTAAAAACTAAATCAGAAAAGGCTGTGATTCGGGGTTATACACAGCAGGCGAACCCCATCAGCGTCTGAGTATTTTAGCGAAAGGCGCTTGAGCACACGCATTTTACCGATTAATCGCAAGTAAGCCAGGGCACAGGTACTGTCATCATGAAAAATAATCTTTTGCACCGCCACATCCCCCCTATTCATTCATGGAAGCGCAACCCGAGAAACTGCTTGGTGCATGGAAAGTGACTTGCGCGTGAATTAGCTTCAAGTGATAGTGGACTTGCGTTGCATCTACTACACTTTCTCTTCCTTCACCCGCCTGCGTCCAGTGTCAAGAGGACTGGACGGGTAATCGGGCGCAGGTGGCTGGCGCGGCGTGAGCCTGTACCTACGCGTGCACCATTCCTCTCCCACTTTCGAAATTAAGTTATGAGAGCGCAACTCGAATAACGCTCTGCTGAAAATTTTGGGAACGACATTTTTTTAAATAAAGCGTATATACATATATATCTCTTTCTCTTTAAGGTCTGCCGTTCCCTCGTCATCCCCCATGTTGGTCCAGCGTAGCTATCACGCGGTCATTTTAGGATTTGGTCACACGTACTAGTACACGGAAGGTAATGACGTCGGCGCAATTTGGCTGGTACCGGCCGAGGCTTGAAGAGCTTTAGATTCACAGGTGTTTCTCTGCCAAATTGTGCTTTAGGGGAAAGGCGAGGCACCTTAAGTGGAAAGGACGCTGAATTCAGCGGTTGACTAATCAGCTTCTGTCCACATTTCAAGAAAATTGCATGGACCATGTTCTTTTAAGGACCGCGCACATACAGATCCGTAAGAAGTTATCTCTAACAGGCACAGTGTGATATCAGTATGGTTTCGACTCCCAAGTAACCCCATCTGTCAGTGGCCTGACAATCCGCGTAGTTTGTAGAGGCAAGCTAACTGGATTGTGATGAAGAGAGGGTAGACCACGTCGCTGCCACAACCCCCTCCAGCTGCAAGTGCATTCTAGTGCAAAGGCGAATTGAAACTGATGCTTCCGTTTCGGGATGAAACAGATGGTAATTGGACAGCCATTTCAATAGCCGCTAGGCCTGACGCCAGAGCGCAACCTAGCCAGAGCCAGGGAAGAACACACAAATCAGTTTAACCTGCGCAGGCGATGGCGTCCACCGCGTACGCCACAGAGAGTGGCTCCTATTTTGTGATTTGTGCACAGTATATCTGTAGTGACCCAACTCAGCGTCCAACGCTCAACCTTTCGCCTTGCGTAGTTGCTATCAAGTGTGTATGCATTAGTGTCCGGTCTGGTAAATCACTTTCAAGGCTGACTCACACGGGACCTCAATGGTGGATGACTGTTATGCCCACAAACTTCGGATGCCACCCCCTCCCCTCTCTCGGGTGCGGACACATGTTCGTCGATTTTCAACTCCTTCCTTCCTATTCTCCACTACCTCTATACAGAATACACTATTCCTCCCGTCTGGGCTCTCACTTCTTCGTTTCCTACACGGAGCCAGAGCCTGAGGATCGCAGTGGCAAGGGTTCTGCCAAGTAAATTAACCCACCGGGATATATCTACCACACACCCTCCCTCCCAAACTCAACTCACTCCAACAACCACAAGACAGCATGAAGGGGCCCGGAGGTGAGTAGTGGCTGACAAACCTAAACAGTCCACCTACGCGGACCAGACAACACGACAAAGTTGTCAGGAGCCAGCTAGCAGGCAGCTAGCATACAACAGCGAGCCGCGCCCACGGCAGGCTATCGATCGGCCTACAGGCAGCGAGTGCATACTGGCAGTGAATCACTCAATAATTGAAAATTTAAGCTGCAGTTAGCCGTTGAGTCAGTAGCCAATCGTACCGCTATCCACGCCAGGACAGAAGCTGATTGGCTCGATGGACAT